TTTTTTTTTTTTTTTTTTTTTTTTTTTTACATACCTTACAGTACTAGGCAGCTCATGAATACTGAGATGGTGGGGTGGATGGAGCATCCCATGGGAGCACTTCCGGTCCACTTCTGGGTCCACAGCAGAGTGTGCAGGGGACCCCTTCCACCTGCCTCAGCAACTGGTGCCTCCTGGGTCTGTGGAGGCACCCGGGGTTCCCCCATGGCTAACTGCCGAGTAGTACTTCAGGTCCACTTCCGGGTCTGCCACTGAGCACCTGGGGGGTCCCCCCCGTGCTCCTGTGGGATGCTCCATCCACTCTACCACCTCAGCATTCAGAAAAAAACATGTAAAGCTGTGTCTATGGCTGAATCGCTGATTCTCTGAATCAGAATCGAATCTTCAGATTTGGTTTCAGACAAATCGAGTCAGGGACAGTGATAACCAAATCAACGAATCAAATCCCTGTCCCCCGAATCAGGGCAAATCCGAATTGAATACAGCCCACTTTGCACACCCCTGTCAGGCCAGTACTGCCTGACAATTTGCTTAAAATTTCATAGGTGGTACACACACATGCACAGGATCATGTAATGCTTTTTTATGGCTCTTCAAAAAAAACTGCATGTTTTTTCAGACCTTTTAATGGTTTTTGAATTATGTGTACGTCTATACTGTATAAGCTTTAAAATTATGTGTGGGCATACAGTATGTACAAATATACCTTAAAATGTTCTTAGACCATCTACTCTTTAGCATGTTAGTATATAGGTACTGTGACTAGCTGGAGAAGTTTTTTAATTAGCTTCTCCTTTTCCTCAATTATAAACTTGAAACCTGCCAGTAGGGAAGATACAAGTGAGCACTCACACTCATATTCAGTACTTACATATCACTTGATGGAGTGGGTTTAGGCGAAGGACTAGGTAAATTCCCTTCCATAATATCATTAAAACTATTATTTCCTACATTCTTGGCCAGCTGTAACAACAAAGAAAAGTTATTATTTGCTACTGGTCTCAAACTTTCAAATAAGATTAATTATATTGAGTGAATAAAGAGAGCAGAAGCAAAAAACACTGATCTAATAGTAATTTTTTTTTTTAAAGTACAAGCGTAGGATTATAGGAACATAGGTTGGAACTTAGAGGTGCACCAATACATTGGTCCAATAACAGATCAGTACCGATATAAAGAAAATTGGCTGTATTGGAAATCGGCCCGATGCAGATGATAATTTGGACAGTAATGCCAACGCGTGCGTGCAGTCGCAGCGCAGCATGCAGGCAGCAAGGAGCAGAGCCCGACAGCATGGAGAGCTGCCTCCAGCTGGTAAGTGCATTCTGGTGGAAGGGGAGAGGGGGAGAGAAGGGGTATGGGGGGCAGATCAATTTCCCCGCCCCCCCCCCCAGCGAGGGAAGGGACAGGGACAGGCGCTACCCAGCCGAGGCAAGACAGGGAGAGGAACAGAGGCATGGCTCGGAGGGGGGTGGCTTCTGCCACTGTGTGCACACCGGGGGGCAGTGTGGGGGGGGTGGGGTGCCACCCAGATCTGTGCAGGCAGGCTGTAGCTGGGGGCTGGAACCAGGCCTGCAGCTGGGAGCTGGAGCCAGGCTCTTCCCAGGCTGGGCTTGGGGCTATGGAGGGGGCTGCAGCCACCTCAGATTTTGCTGTAGCACCCTCCCAGCGCTGCCACTGCTATGCGCCCAGTGGAGCCCTACTTCTTCCCAGTGCATGGGGGGAGGCAGGTGTTCAGCCGGGAAGAGCTGGGGCTGCCCCGGTGGGCAGGCGACACTGAGAGGGAACTATGGCAAAATCTGGGGTGGCTGCAGCCCCCTCCATAGCCCCCACTCTGAGCCCCGCCCCCAGTGAGAAAAACCTGGCTCCAGCTCATAGCTGCAGCCCGCCTGCTCACCCTGCGCAGATCCAGGGGCACATGCCTGCCCCCCCCCGGGTTGTAAGCAGTGGTGGGAGCCACCCCCGCCAATGAGCGGTGCCTCTATCCCATGGCCCACCCCACCCCACCTGGGCAGTGCCTTCCCCTGTCCCCTTCTTAGCCATGGGGAGGACTGAACTGCCCCCCACTTCCACCACAATGGACTTCCCAGCTGGAGGCAGCTCTCCACTCTATATCAGAAATCGGATCGATATCGGCTGATATGCCTCCTTAAAAACCAGGTATCGGTATCAGTCCCAAAAATCTCTATTAGTGCACCCCTACTAGGAACCATCCCTCCCAAGTGTCTGTCTAACCTAACTCTTGAAAATGTAGATGTGTCTACGTAGCCTGTGCTTGGCCCACCCTCATAGTCAGAAAGTTTCTCGTAATCTCCAAACTGAATTTCCTCTTCTGCATTTTGAGGTCACTGCTCCTAGTCCTCTCTCTTAGACCTATAGAAGAAAAGGTTATAATCACCCTTCAGTTTTCAGTCTCTCTGCAGTCTTCTCCTCTCCAGACAAAACAACCTTATCTCTTTCAGCCTCTCCTCATGCTTCCTAGCCACCTAATCATTTCTGTCACTCTTTATTGAACTTTTTCCAATCTGTCCACATCTTTCTTGAAGTGTGGAACATAAACTGGACACAGTACTCCACGTGAGGCCTCACCAGTGCCCAACAGAATCGAAGAATCACTTCTCTTGATTTACAAGTGACACTCCTATTACTACAATCCCCGGGGAACCCCACTCAATACCCCCTCCCACCTAGACGCTGAGCTACTGGAGCAAGGGGTAAGTTACAAGTACTCATCTTTCCAAAAATCCAACTTAAATGAATAGTAATAATACAGACAATACAAAGTTTCAGTAACTTTAGTCTATTGCTAGTTAAACCCATTCACAAGCCTGACATGCCAAAAACACTCTTTGCAATTTCCTAAACAGAACAGCAGAACATCACTCTCCTCTTTCGGGTCAAAGATGGTTCATGGAGAAAAATGAACCACAACTATCACTTTTCTCTTCTATCCAATTCACAATATCTCTTGACAGTAATGCAGGACCTTTCCCTCTAAATTAAAAGATTCAGCCAATATAGTTTACCACACTGCTCTAGCTGCTCTCTCTCATAGACTGAAGTTTTCTCTCTCTCTCGTTTTCTCTCACCTTGTCATATATAGATTTAGGCTTAAGACTAACGAAAAGTAAAATTATGACTGTACGAATCATGGCAAGGTGAAGTTAAATATATCAGTATGGAAAAAATGAATTTTTCAGCATGAAAATAATGGTAACAAGGCAAATTTACAGACAGCACAATAAAAAACTGCTCCAAATTATTTACAAAATATGAAGATGAACATTTCTATTAAAAGGCATATTTTTAAAAGTTATGTGCCTTTGATTTTTTCACCATGTATTCTTTATATGAACATAGTATCAGACTACATATATCCAAATTATAGAAACTTACCAAGAGTTCAGATGTTCCTAATTTGTCTAATTCCAAAGACTGAATTCGGGAGATATGAACACCCATTTCTCTATGTATTCCAGAACACTCTATACATGTTAAAATGCCCAGATTAGTTGATAACCACGTTGGATCTGTAGAACAGTTCGAGAAATAAAATAATTAGCAAATGTTTAACATTTATACTTCCACTGCAAACAAATTAAAATGAAATGGCCCTCTTCTTAAGGGATTTAACTATGAACATCTGATGCTTCATCACACAACTGGAAGGGAAATTCAGTAAGCACGCTACCTTCAAATCAAGCAAGTTGATTTAAGGATCCACAACTTTTCAACTAATAGTTAAGCAAAAGGTTTCAAACATGCGTGAAGTCTGAAACATTAAAAATCAAGGCTAAAATATTTAGAGGGATCGTCATGAAGAATTACATTAAGCATTTAATTGGAGGTAGAATGGACATACATAGAGATCAACTCTGATGCCAGTCTAGTCAGATCTCAATTGCCATGTGGGAGGCTTAGGTTTCGTACCCAAATAAGACTCATTCGTGAAGGCTGCAAGAGGAGCATGGGTCAATCTCTGGGTTATCTTGGACAACTTTTAAATGGGCTGATTACAAAATAAATAAATAATAAAAAACCCCATAGGATCCTAAATAAATCTTTTTCCTTGACCAAAGGAATTATTAATTACCATTAAATGAAGCACTGAATCAAGAGCTTAAGGGTGAAAAGTAAGGGGAGAGATGGTTTGGAAATTCACTGTAAAATTGGAGACGAAAAGATTAACAACAGTATTTCCCCAAATTACTGGAGATCTGAATGATAAACTAATGACTATTTATCATACCGCAACATTAAAATTTTAATTTTATTTTTACAATGCTCTAATTTTGCATCAATGTAGGCATGTTTGTTATATTCATCGCTACTGGATAATGTAGGTACCAGCAATTTACTATTACAATGTAATATATTATTGGTATCAAAAGCCTTCTTCTGAAGAAGAGTACAGTCCATTTTTCTTTTTTCCCCTCCTTTCTTGGTCACCTCTGCCTTCTGCAGAACCCTTGAATGATGTGAAAGCTATGGTGGCTATCAGGCCTATGGTAACATTTACCTTTAACAGGCCTATGGTAACACTTAATTCTTACTGAGATCAGGAGAGGGAAAATGAGTGATGTGTAATTTTGCTCTTCTGGAGATATGATTCTGGTTCCCGGCTGGATTCTTACGCTGTGTCTTTGTTCTCTAGTGCAAGACTGGGGAAACCACCATTCCATATGTTTCTTACTAAGAAGCTGAGACCAGACAGTAAGCCTCAAGACATCATGTTTTCCCTACTCCCTGTCCAACCATTGCTCATTTCTATTAAATAATGTGCCCAGAACCAGTGAACTTCCATTCAATTAAATAAGCATCTGGAGACAGTGAAATATCAATAGTTCAAAAACACACAATCAGGTTTGAACTGCTGGAACAAAGTGCAGATAGCACAGAATATTTTGTTACAAGGGTTGGCAACCTGTAGCCCGCAGGCTGGATCCGACCTGTTGGTGTGGGCCTTTGGTGGCATTCAACAGTGTCGGGCACATCCTGTATGTGCTCTCCCCTTGCTGCCATGGGGGAACTGCTGGCTGTGGGTGCTTTCCCTACGCAGACAGACAAGCAGAAACAGCGGCAGGGTCCTAGCACTTGCCCGCCCTCCTGCTTTTGACGGGAGGTGGGTCATTGTGGCCCATAACTGGAAAAGGTTCTTTACCCAAGACTTAATACATTAAGCCAGAAAAACGGATAAGTTTTGTTTTTCCTTTTAGAACAGGCTGACTTGTATGTTATTTACAAAAATAACTTTCATTCTACAAAAGCTCTTTTTTTTCTTTTCTTGTTTATTCTTTAAGCCAGTGGTTTGGTAATGTTAGTAGAAGAAAGATACCTGGTGATCCACAATCACAGCAGACTTCATTTCCAGGTAACCTCTGTATGTCATCAATAATGGCTTTTGTTAGATCCTCTAAACTGTTTTCCCCAGTGCTCTGCTCTCCACGGAATGCCATGTTTAAAGCTTCTTCTTTGCTGTTAGTCAACACTGATATCCATCTAACATTTAAAAAAAAAAGTTTTTATGCTCTGTTTTTCAGATGCAAGTTTGTCTACAGTTGAAGTAAGTTTGCCAATGACAGAATGGGATGAAGTAGGGGAAGGACTATACTTAGGATGAAATTATAAAAAAGGGGCAGAGACTGACAGAATGGGGAAAAGATGGAAGGGGACAGATTCAAAGGGACACATAAGTGCTGTAAAAACATGTGCCTTCTTGCCTAAAATTTAAGTATTGTGAAGCTCTGAAGAATTGTGCGTGATGGGTTTCTGTACTTTGAATGGAAACACTCGAGTGCCTTTCCGTCAGGATTCACAGCAGCCAGAATGATGTGCTGAGAGATTCATATGCCAGCCAGTAGGAAATATGGATGGGGAAGGGATCTGGGATCCCATCCCTTTCCTGGAGTTAAGCCACATGTATACAGTCCCCTGAAGCTTTGATTTCTGCACGGCCATAGATTTGGATTCAGGTGTCATAAATCCCCGCAAGGTTCAGAAATGAATTCCCAGCTGAATCTGGCATAAGTTTATACACCCTGACTAACATTAGTAGTGTGTAGTCTCAACACATCCAGCAAAGGCAGCAAAGCAAAATTCCAACATTAACTACCAAGCAGGGTTGCAGCTAACTTTTGTCCAATGATATGTTGTCTTGTGATACTTTTTCACAAGTCCTTTTCCACTTCTCATTTTGGTTTCTTTTTCTTTCTTTTTTGGGGGAAGAGGGGAGGTTGCATGGATTCCTTCTCCCATTTAAAGAAAAAAAGTGGCTACACGAGTTACTTCTCACAAAAACCATTGCATTAACCAATACATACACAAATGGATATAAATATACACACAGATAGAAGATATACCGCCTCTCAGCAACATCCACTGACAGACAGACAGACTGAAAGGGAGGAGGGAGGGAGGGTGTGTGTACACACATGCACATATATGGAATATATTCAAATAGATATTCTTCAGAGGTTACAAACCATCTCTTGACATAAGATATGCCTATTCACAATGGGTTTTGCACTTTTTTTCCCATTCAAATGCAGTTTCAAAAGTCTCTAAACTGTTCATTGCCTCTTTATTAGTTGTAGCCTTAATCTGCATAAATAATTGCTATAGCCTTATTGTCTGAGGAGATGTCCACGCTGGAAATGTAAGGACATATGCACAATGGTCGATATCATGGTTATCCTTACAAATCCAATCACAGTCATGTCTAGATGGAAAAAGCCCAGCATGCTATGGGTGTCTAAACTAAATTTACCTTCAGCGAAAAAGCAGCATAAGCATCTCACAATTGGCATGCATACCAGCTGTCAAAGTATTCCATAAAACTTAGACGTGCATCATAAGCCATAGCAGCTTTTATTAGGGCTGACTGCTAAGGAGGCAATCAGTTCACTGGAAACACTCGAGTCTGAGAGGGTCACAATATGGCAGTTATGGTACATATTCTGAGTACACCTTATTATCTGATCAATTCAGATGTCTCATAACAATTCAGATATCTTATAACTGCCTCTGTTGGCAGCTTCACCCCTGCACCCCTGCTCATTTTTCTGTTTTGTAGTTCCCACGCTTTTCTGCAGGGACCAGGCTTTTTCACAGGGGACCAACCAAATTAATGATTTCTGTGAAAATTGCAAAATCGTGAATTTTGTAGGTCCACACTTATAACCGTCTGTGCTGCATTACTGAACTACAACTTGCCTCAGGCCTACTTCACGTGTCTGGATTCACAACTCAAATGTCTAAGTTTCTGCGCATGTGCGCCACCTTTTTAATCTAGCACATGGGACAATTTTCACATAAGCACTTGAATGCGTTGATGTGTGCTGAAGTAGCTCACAGGCCTTCAAATACCTACATATATTCAGGACTTGCCAGTAAGACACCTGCTCTAAGTCTCTTGGCCATTTTTTGAGTGTTATATAAACAATTTTATTTTCCTATTTTAAAAATGTACCTTTTTTATTAGCTGCTGTGTGAAAGACCCAAACAAAAACAGAAATCAGATTGAACAGGGCTCTCTACTGCACAAAACATGCAAGCTGAAAAACCACAGGGATGTTTTCATAGAATCATAGAAAAGTTTTCCTCCAGTTTCTTTCCACTGCATCAGTCTTAGCTGACAGTACACATTGCTGCCAAAAAATTATTCCAAATTTAATGTATCCTCAGCCTATTGCCTGCTTATATGCTAAACCAGGAGTGGGCAATTATTTTGGCTGAAGAGCTACTTAGCAAGTTTTGGTGAGCTGTTGAGGGCCGCAAAGGTAGCCTTACCCTTTGACATGTGCCCTGCCTCCTGGTTGCCCTCTTAGGACCAGAAGCCGTGCCCCTAAACCCTGACCTCTGCCATGTGAAGTCCCTTCCCTTACCCCAGAAGAACTCCTGGGGGGATGCCATCTTGGAACTGGAAAATAAACCAAATCACATACTAAAAAAAACAACCCATGTAATTTAAAATATTTAAATGTTATTTAAAAATATATTTTTGTCCTGATTTGTGTGCGTTTGCATAGTGCATATAAAGGCAACTGTATAATAGCTCAAAATACAGTCTTAGTTTTAAATATTGTGGGGAGGTATGGTGGGGGACTGTGTAGTTGAGAAGTAGATGGGTGTGTGTGGTGGGGTGTGGGCAGGAGCAGGGAGGGCGTGGATGTGGGGTGCGTGGTTGGTTGGGGGTGTG